AAACCATGCGATGTTCGCAGCTGGCGGGTAAAAATCGCGATTTTTGCCGCTAGCAGCCAAAAATCGGGCTATTTTTGCCGCTAACGGCCGAAAACCGCGCTATTTTGCGCAAAAACCATGCGATTTTCGCAGCTGGCGGGCAAAAATCGCGATTTTCGCCGCTACCGGCCAAAAATAGCGCGATTTTCGCCGCTACTGGCCAAAAACCGCTCGATTTTCGCCGCTACCGGCCAAAAACCATGCGATTTTCGCAGCTGGACGGCAAAAATCGCGATTTTCGCCGCTACCGGCCAAAAATAGCGCGATTTTAGCCGCTACTGGCCAAAAACCGCTCGATTTTCGCCGCTACCGGCCAAAAACCATGCGATTTTCGCAGCTGGACGGCAAAAATCGCGATTTTCGCCGATACCAGCCAAAAATAGCGCGATTTTTGCCGCTACCGGCCAAAAACCGCGCGATTTTCGCCGCTACCTGCCAAACACCATGCGATTTTCGCAGCTGGCGGGCAAAAATCGCGATTTTCGCCGCTACCGGCCAAAAATAGCGCGATTTTCGCTGCTACCGGCCAAAAACCGCGCGATTTTGGCCGCTACCGGCCAAAAACCATGCGATGTTCGCAGCTGACGGGCAAAAATCGCGATTTTTGCCGTTAGCGGCCAAAATAGCCCGATTTTTGGCCGCTAACGGCAAAAATCGCGATTTTTGCCCGTCAGCTGCGAACATCGCATGGTTTTTGGCCGGTAGCGGCCAAAATCGCGCGGTTTTTGGCCGGTAGCAGCGAAAATCGCGCTATTTTTGGCCGGTAGCGGCGAAAAGCGCGATTTTTGCCCGCCAGCTGCGAAAATCGCATGGTGTTTGGCAGGTAGCGGCGAAAATCGCGCGGTTTTTGGCCGGTAGCGGCAAAAATCGCGCTATTTTTGGCTGGTATCGGCGAAAATCGCGATTTTTGCCGTCCAGCTGCGAAAATCGCATGGTTTTTGGCCGGTAGCGGCGAAAATCGAGCGGTTTTTGGCCAGTAGCGGCTAAAATCGCGCTATTTTTGGCCGGTAGCGGCGAAAATCGCGATTTTTGCCGTCCAGCTGCGAAAATCGCATGGTTTTTGGCCGGTAGCGGCGAAAATCGAGCGGTTTTTGGCCAGTAGCGGCGAAAATCGCGCTATTTTTGGCCGGTAGCGGCGAAAATCGCAATTTTTGCCCGCCAGCTGCGAAAATCGCATGGTTTTTGCGCAAAATAGCGCGGTTTTCGGCCGTTAGCGGCAAAAATAGCCCGATTTTTGGCTGCTAGCTGCAAAAATCGCGATTTTTACCCGCCAGCTGCGAACATCGCATGGTTTTTGGCCGGTAGCGGCGAAAATCGCGCGGTTTTTGGCCGGTAGCGGCGAAAATCGCGCGGTTTTTGGCCGGTAGCGGCGAAAATCGCGCTATTTTTGGCCGGTAGCGGCGAAAATCGCGATTTTTGCCCGCCAGCTGCGAAAATCGCATGGTTTTTGCGCAAAATAGCGCGGTTTTCGGCCGTTAGCGGCAAAAATAGCCCGATTTTTCGCCGCTAGCGGCAAAAATCGCGATTTTTACCCGCCAGCTGCGAACATCGCATGGTTTTTGGCCGGTAGCGGCGAAAATCGCGCGGTTTTTGGCCGGTAGCGGCGAAAATCGCGCTATTTTTGGCCGGTAGCGGCGAAAATCGCGATTTTTGCCAGCCAGTTGCGAAAATCGCATGGTTTTTGGCTGGTAGCGGCGAAAATCGCGCTGTTTTTGGCCGGTAGCGGCGAAAATCGCGCTATTTTTGGCTGGTAGCGGCGAAAATCGCGATTTTTGCCCGCCAGCGGCGAAAATCGCATGGTTTTTGGCCAGTAGCGGCGAAAATCGCGCGGTTTTTGGCCAGTAGCGGCGAAAATCGCGCTATTTTTGGCCGGTAGCGGCGAAAATCGCGATTTTTTCCCGCCAACTGCGAAAATCGCATAGTTTTTGGCCGGTAGCGGCGAAAATTGAGCTGTTTTTGGCCGGTAGCGCCGAAAATCGCGCTATTTTTGGCCGGTAGCGGCGAAAATCGCGATTTTTGTCCGCCAGCTGCGAAAATCGCATGGTTTTTGCGCAAAATAGCGCGGTTTTCGGCCGTTAGCGGCAAAAATAGCCCGATTTTTGGCCGCTAGCGGCAAAAATCGCGATTTTTACCCGCCAGCTGCGAACATCGCATGGTTTTTGGCCGGTAGCGGCGAAAATCGCGCGGTTTTTGGCCGGTATCGGCGAAAATCGCGCTATTTTTGGCCGGTAGCGGCGAAAATCGCGATTTTTGCCCGCCAGCTGCGAAAATCGCATGGTTTTTGGCTGGTAGCGGCGAAAATCGCACGGTTTTTGGCCGCTAGCAGCGAAAATCGCGCTATTTTTGGCCGGTAGCGGCGAAAATCGCGATTTTTGCCCGCCAACTACGAAAATCGCATGTTTTTTGCGCAAAATCGCTCGGTTTTCGGCCGTTAGCGGCAAAAAACGCTCTATTTTTGGCCGCTAGCGGCGAAAATCGCGCGGTTTTTGGCCGGTAGCGGCGAAAATCACGCTATTTTTGGCCGGTAGCGGCGAAAATCGCGATTTTTGCTAGCCAGCTGCGAAAATCGCATGATTTTTGCGCAAAATAGCGCGGTTTTCGCCCGTTAGCGGCAAAAATCGCCCGACTTTTGGCCGCTAGCGGCAAAAATCGGACGGTTGTTGGCCGCTAGCGGCGAAAATCGTGATTTTTGTCCGCCAGCTGCGAAAATCGCATTGTTTTTGCGCAAAATAGCGCGGTTTTCGGCCGTTAGCGGCAAAAATAGCCCGATTTTTGGCCGCTAACGGCAAAAATCGCGATTTTTGCCCGTCAGCTGCGAAAATCGCATGGTTTTTGGCCAGTAGCGGCGAAAATCGCGCGGTTTTTGGCCAGTAGCGGCGAAAATCGCGCTATTTTTGGCCGGTAGCGGCGAAAATCGCGATTTTTTCCCGCCAACTGCGAAAATCGCATAGTTTTTGGCCGGTAGCGGCGAAAATTGAGCTGTTTTTGGCCGGTAGCGGCGAAAATCGCGCTATTTTTGGCCGGTAGCGGCGAAAATCGCGATTTTTCCCCGCCAGCTGCGAAAATCGCTTGGTTTTTGGCCAGTAGCGGCGAAAATCGCTTGGTTTTTGGCCTTTAGCGGCGAAAATCGCGCTATTTTTGGCCGGTAGCGGCGAAAATCGCGATTTTTTCCCGCCAGCTCCGAAAATCGCATGGTTTTTGGCCGGTAGCGGCGAAAATCGAGCTGTTTTTGGCCGGTAGCGCCGAAAATCGCGCTATTTTTGGCCGGTAGCGGCGAAAATCGCGATTTTTGTCCGCCAGCTGCGAAAATCGCATGGTTTTTGTGCAAAATAGCGCGGTTTTCGGCCGTTAGCGGCAAAAATAGCCCGATTTTTGGCCGCTAGCGGCAAAAATCGCGATTTTTACCCGCCAGCTGCGAACATCGCATGGTTTTTGGCCAGTAGCGGCGAAAATCGCGCGGTTTTTGGCCAGTAGAGGCGAAAATCGCGCTATTTTTGGCCGGTAGCGGCGAAAATCGCGATATTTTCCCGCCAACTGCGAAAATCGCATAGTTTTTGGCCGGTAGCGGCGAAAATTGAGCAGTTTTTGGCCGGTAGCGGCGAAAATCGCGCTATTTTTGGCCGGTAGCGGCGAAAATCGCGATTTTTCCCCGCCAGCTGCGAAAATCGCTTGGTTTTTGGCCAGTAGCGGCGAAAATCGCTTGGTTTTTGGCCTTTAGCGGCGAAAATCGCGCTATTTTTGGCCGGTAGCGGCGAAAATCGCGATTTTTTTCCCGCCAGCTCCGAAAATCGCATGGTTTTTGGCCGGTAGCGGCGAAAATCGAGCTGTTTTTGGCCGGTAGCGCCGAAAATCGCGCTATTTTTGGCCGGTAGCGGCGAAAATCGCGATTTTTGTCCGCCAGCTGCGAAAATCGCATGGTTTTTGTGCAAAATAGCGCGGTTTTCGGCCGTTAGCGGCAAAAATAGCCCGATTTTTGGCCGCTAGCGGCAAAAATCGCGATTTTTACCCGCCAGCTGCGAACATCGCATGGTTTTTTTCTGGGGCCCGGGTACAGGCCCAGAAAGGGCCCGGGTACAGAATATTTAAAGGGCCCAGAATATTTTCTGGCTATTTATGCTAAATATTATTGTAACTATGCATTATTGTAGTTTATACCATTATTTCAATTTGTGACAATTAGAGCAGAGAAGTGCGACGTGTGTACAAGAGGCTGATATGCCAGCAAACACTCTCCAAGCAACAATCTGTCTTGGATAAGTCGCTCCACAACACTGACGCTTGGCTCGTCGACCTGATTTGGCGTCACCAGCTCTTTATTTTCGTCTAATTTCTATATAAAAAAAAAAAGATACTTTTTCAGATTAAAATTATGTTTTTTTTCGTGTTGTACATTCAGCACCAACATTATAATGAGTAAATATATCATATTTATTCATTCCTGCCCGAAACGCTTTGCGTAATAGTGGCTTTAGGCATTGTATGTACTAGCTCCTATCTATAAAGCCAACAAACTTTGTAAAATCTCTTTATGTACCTTTGCCTAAATAAAAATTATTATTATTATTATTATTATTATTACTAACGTATTGCCAGGAAGCTTAGTGAAGCTTGTGTAGCTTGTGGTAATTAGACGGACCGCACATGACTGGTGCCAAAGTCTGACATTAGCATATCAGTCTGATAAGCTCCGGGAAGCCGTAGGGACTCCCCCCCCCCCCAGAAAAAAATTACAGTAGGAAGGCAGAACATTGAGAAATAAATTTGTAAATGGTATAAAAAATATAGTAATAACTATTTAATTGAATCTACAAGAAAATATGCTTCATCAACATGGTTCTACAAGTCAAATAGGAAAATAACAATAATTTCACAATACAAAATATAAAATTCTATATTTAATACACATTAATATTCATGCAAATAATAAACAAGCTGTATATGACACGATAATACCACACTAGTCAGGAATACTGGTAGCAGTAATACCACACTAGTCAGGAATACTGGTAGCAGTAATACCACACTAGTCAGGAATACTGGTAGCAGTAGTACCACACTAGTCAGGAGTACTGGTAGCAGTAATACCACACTTGTCAGGAATACTGGTAGCAGTAATACCACACTAGTCAGGAATACTGGTAGCAGTAATACCACACTAGTCAGGAATACTGGTAGCAGTAGTACCACACTAGTCAGGAGTACTGGTAGCAGTAATACCACACTAGTCAGGAGTACTGGTAGCAGTAATACCACACTTGTCAGGAATACTGGTAGCAGTAATACCACACTTGTCAGGAATACTGGTAGCAGTAATACCACACTAGTCAGGAATACTGGTAGCAGTAATACCACACTAGTCAGGAGTACTGGTAGCAGTTATACCACACTAGTCAGGAGTACTGGTAGCAGTTATACCACACTTGTCAGGAATACTGGTAGCAGTAGTACCACACTTGTCAGGAATACTGGTAGCAGTAATACCACACTAGTCAGGAGTACTGGTTGCAGTTATACCACACTAGTCAGGAGTACTGGTAGCAGTAATACCACACTAGTCAGGAGTACTGGTAGCAGTAATACCACACTAGTCAGGAGTACTGGTAGCAGTAATACCACACTAGTCAGGAGTACTGGTAGCAGTAATACCACACTTGTCAGGAGTACTGGTAGCAGTAATACCACACTAGTCAGGAGTACTGGTAGCAGTTATACCACACTTGTCAGGAATATTGGTAGCAGTAATACCACACTTGTCAGGAGTACTGGTAGCAGTAATACCACACTAGTCAGGAGTACTGGTAGCAGTTATACCACACTTGTCAGGAATACTGGTAGCAGTAATACCACACTAGTCAGGAGTACTGGTAGCAGTAATACCACACTAGTCAGGAGTACTGGTAGCAGTAATACCACACTAGTCAGGAATACTGGTAGTAGTAATACCACACTTGTCAGGAGTACTGGTAGCAGTAATACCACACTTGTCCGGAGTACTGGTAGCATTATTACCATACTGGTACTGGTAGCACTAATACCAAACAAGTTATGAATTCTGGAACAATATTACAAGTCCTGTACAGCATTTCTTCTTAAATATCTAATGTTATGAGCAGTTTATAACATTAGATTTTTTACAAACAAGAAAGTAATTATCTCCAAGAAAGTGGAGTAATTATCAAAAGTTGAAGTTGAGCCAATGTGGGCGTTAAGCAGCATTAGTCACAGTCAAAAGCAAGCAAGCGACACACTACTATACATGTCAATATATCAACACAAGTACACAAGCAAGCAAGCGACACACTACTATACATGTCAATATATCAACACAAGTACACAAGCAAGCAAGTGACACACTACTATACATGTCAATATATCAACACAAGTACACAAGCAAGCAAGCGACACACTACTATACATGTCAATATATCAACACAAGTACACAAGCAAGCAAGCGACACACTACTATACATGTCAATATATCAACACAAGTACACAAGCAAGCAAGCGACACACTACTATACATGTCAATATATCAACACAAGTACACAAGTTTTGAAACACTAAACATATTCAATTAAAAAAGGAGTGTATCTAAAGTCAGTTGAAGGGATTAGTGTGAATTTATGGTCATCATAACACTCACCAGAATGTAACAATTTAACAAGGCAATTTGGGCAATAATGGGTATGTGTGCCCTTTCCATGAGAAAATCATGTGTGAATGTAGCACATGTATGACTAGTACTCAAGTAGGGTGAACATGTATCCCATTTCCAGGTGTGCTATAATGCAGGCCAGTACAGAATACTCCAAACCTCCATAGTTCAGTGTATATTACTGAAGGCTCCTCCAATATACTTCTTAGTATCAAATATATAATATTATCAACCTACATCAATAAACAATTAAAGTTTAGTCAAACATGATTTAATGAAATTCACATGTTTCCAGGATTTATATTAATTATTATATGGCAAACATTTATTTATGTGATTTCCAGTATATTTTGGTAATGAACAGCAACCATTACAACTTGTCACACGTCTTACAACCCGATGGTTGTTATTTACACACATTATTTATTTATTTATACTCCCCAATGCAATAAAAAAATGTGTATGTCCAGCTTATATTTATTTCCAAGTGCTCAGCACCAGTCCATAAACTTGGCAGCATGGGCCTCACAGCTACTTTTAACATGTTTCATATTCATGTAAATGAATGAACTAGTTGAGCTTTCAATATATTAAGTTATTATGTTTAGCAGCCATTATATAAGTTTTAAAGCAGTCATGCAATGAAAGCTTGTAGTCAAAATACACTTGGTAATAACATTTCAGTCTGCTTAAGGCCTCCACATGATAACTTCAAATATCACTACTGTATTTTGATAGCTTATTTAACAGGGACAAATTTTAAGAGTATATTCTGTATATACTGTATAGGATTAGTTTAAAAAAAATTATTCTTGCTCCTTCAGAATTTATATGGGTCTACTTAAACCATGACTTAGAGTGAAGTGAAACTTGGTTTTACTACAACAATCCTCTGGAAAAACCGTAAGTGATATAACTGACAAACCTATAATTTACTGCCTAAATGTCAGTGTGAAGACTATGAGGCAGTACATAAGAACTGTATATTAGGGTTATCTTGGTTACCTTGAGATGATTTCGGGGCTTTAGTGTCCCCGCGGCCCGGTCCTCGACCAGGCCTCCACCCCCAGGAAGCAGCCCGTGACAGCTGACTAACACCCAGGTACCTATTTTACTGCTAGGTAACAGGGGGCATAGGGTGAAAGAAACTCTGCCCATTGTTTCTCGCCGGCACCCGGAATCGAACCCGGGACCACAGGATCACAAGTCCAGCGTGCTGTCCGCTCGGCCGACCGGCTCCCGAGCCGGTAGGCTCGTTGTAGGTACAGGTAGGTAGGTAGACCAAGTTGTAGGTACAACTTGTGCTCATATCTCAATGATGTGCTTGTAGTCTGCAAAACTTTCCACTATATTTGTCTAAGAGTGGCTAAAATTATGCACACATATTTAAAGAAAATTATGCTCACATTACTTCTTGCAGACACAGAGTTCAATAATTAACAATTTAATTTAAATGGTTCATTCACTGCTCTTGCCAACCAACATTACAAGCAACCAGACATTTAATGCTCCAAGTTTCCAAACAAATCTTTGTCCTTTAACATGGAATCAGTTGTCCATGTGTTGTGTGAAGCCTTGCGATTTACCTTCCTACATCAATCTTCAACCTTTACTCAATGTTAAATGGCAATGTTAATGGCAGTGTTAAAAGACATGTAATTATGAAAGAAACAAATTATGCTATCATATTGATAGGTATTGGAAAAATTAACATATGCAGCACACACAAGGCTTCTGTCAATTTAAACATTTACTGCACCTTCAAAATGACTAAATATATTAACAAATTTCACCATCCATGAATGACTTAAAAAACATATTAATTTAAAATCAAATTCATCAACATACCAGATATATTACATCAATAAATACATAAAATTATAAGAAACTGCTGATAGTTTTCAAGAAGATGGTCTATAATCAAGAGGTATAATTTACCCACACTCAGAAATAGTTTCTAAAGAGATTAGGGTCTAAAGATCTCCAGGGGGGGAAAGGAACACACTAGCATTTTAGAAGTGTGTGATAAAGGTCTTCTTCAGGGACATACACTCCAGCATGTTACAAGTGTGTGTGATGAAGGTCTTCTGCTTGATACCTTCTTGATGGGGTTCTGAGAGTTCTTCTACTCCCCAAGCTCGGCCCGAGGCCAGGCTTGACTTGTGAGAGTTTGGTCCACTAGGCTGTTGCTTGGAGCGGCCCGCAGACCCACATACCCACCACAGCCCGGTTGGTCCGGCACTCCTTGGAGGAATAAATCTAGTTTCCTCTTGCAGATGTCCACGGTTGTCCCAGCAATATTTCTTATGCTTGCTGGGAGGACGTTGAACAACCGCGGACCTCTGATGTTTATACAGTGTTCTCTGATTGTGCCTATGGCACCTCTGCTTTTCACTGGTTCTATTCTGCATTTTCTTCCATATCTTTCACTCCAGTATGTTGTTATTTTATTGTGTAGATTTGGGACCTGTCCCTCCAGTATGTTCCAGTGACACACTCCAGCATGTTACAATTGTGTGTGGTGGAGGTCTTCACCAGTGACACACTCCAGCATGTTACAAGTGTGTGTGGTGGAGGTCTTCACCAGTGATACACTCCAGCATGTTACAAGTGTGTGTGGTGGTGAAGGTGTTCACCAGTGACACACTCCAGCATGTTACAAGTGTGTGTGGTGGTGGTCTTCACCAGTGATACACTCCAGCATGTTACAAGTGTGTGTGGTGGAGGTCTTCACCAGTGACACACTCCAGCATGTTACAAGTGTGTGGTGGTGGAGGTCTTCACCAGTGATACACTCCAGCATGTTACAAGTGTGTGTGGTGGAGGTCTTCACCAGTGACACTCCAGCATGTTACAAGTGTGTGTGTGGTGGAGGTCTTCACCAGTGACACACTCCAGCATGTTACAAGTGTGTGTGGTGGAGGTCTTCACCAGTGATACACTCCAGCATGTTACAAGTGTGTGTGGTGGTGAAGGTGTTCACCAGTGACACACTCCAGCATGTTACAAGTGTGTGTGGTGGTGGTCTTCACCAGTGATACACTCCAGCATGTTACAAGTGTGTGTGGTGGAGGTCTTCACCAGTGACACACTCCAGCATGTTACAAGTGTGTGGTGGTGGAGGTCTTCACCAGTGATACACTCCAGCATGTTACAAGTGTGTGTGGTGGAGGTCTTCACCAGTGACACACTCCAGCATGTTACAAGTGTGTGTGGTGGAGGTCTTCACCAGTGACACACTCCAGCATGTTACAAGTGTGTGTGGTGGAGGTCTTCACCAGTGACACACTCCAGCATGTTACAAGTGTGTGTGGTGGAGGTCTTCACCAGTGACACACTCCAGCATGTTACAAGTGTGTGTGGTGGAGGTCTTCACCAGTGACACACTCCAGCATGTTACAAGTGTGTGTGGTGGAGGTCTTCACCAGTGACACACTCCAGCATGTTACAAGTGTGTGTGGTAGAGGTCTTCACCAGTGACACACTCCAGCATGTTACAAGTGTGTGTGGTGGTGGAGGTCTTCACCAGTGACACACTCCAGCATGTTACAAGTGTGTGTGACAAAAGTGTGTATATGACTTCTATATACACAATGTGTATACATTGAAGAGATAACTTATACACTGTGTGTATAAGTTGTCTCATCACCATCATGTACAATAATAAAGTCAAGAATCTGTGCCTTGGCCTTTACCTCAAATACAACAAGTAATGCCATAGGCAAATTGTCAGAATAAAATACAGCCTACAAAATAAAGTGAAGTTTGTACTATGTAATATATAAATATGAGGTGTGTGGGAGTAAGTGGAGCTAGGCTCGTGAGAGAGAGGTTATGTAACCAATACTGCAACACACTCTATATATAAATATGAGGTGTGTGGGAGTAATTGGAGCTAGGCTCGTGAGAGAGAGGTTATGTAACCAATACTGCAACACTCTCTATATATAAATATGAGGTGTGTGGGAGTAAGTGGAGCTAGGCTCGTGAGAGAGAGGTTATGTAACCAATACTGCAACACTCTCTATATATAAATATGAGGTGTGTGGGAGTAAGTGGAGCTAGGCTCGTGAGAGAGAGGTTATGTAACCAATACTGCAACACACTCTTTAGGTCAGACACAAAACACAAAGGAATGTCAGTAATAGTCTTGGTGTTATCAATTTAACACATTAACAATGTATTATAGTGATCAAATCCACAAGGGCCACCTTCTTGAGATTATCTTGAGATGATTTTGGGGCTTTTTTCTTTGTTTTAGTGTCCCCGCGGCCCGGTCCTCGACCAGGCCTCCACCCCCAGGAAGCAGCCCGTGACAGCTGACTAACACCCAGGTACCTATTTTACTGCTAGGTAACAAGCCATGATGAGGGTTTGAACTTAAATCCAGGATGATCCCAGACGCGCCTTAGTCGATTGTGCCATGAGAGCCACAATCGACTGAGGCGCGTCTGGGCTCATCCTGGACGTAAGTTCGAACCTTCAACACGGCCCTTGTGGATTTGTTCATTTGATGTATCACTCTATTGTGATTTCTGTGTCTATTAATATATTATATTACAGTATTTAGGAAACAAAAACAAAATATTTTTCATAACAGAAATATCACTTAATACTAACTTCAGAAAAAAATGAGATTGGTGCATGACAAAATATACTATGATCAGTTATATTGGAGATACAGGTATATAGAACTCCCTATTCTTAATCAAATTAATTTCTTAAAAAAAAAAGCTGCAAGTGAAATTTTGCATTTAACATCACATTTAGACAGACCCTTAAAAATTCAATAGCTGCATCACTAAACACAATATACGAGCAAGTCTGAAAATAACAAAATACGAGCATTCTGAAAATTAAAACCAAAGAATTATGCCTATGAAGACACTGTTCTCCACAAGACACATGTAAAGCACTAGGAAATGATTGTGCCATGCTATGATAATATGTGAGAATTATATTTAAGGTAACATAATTAGAGGCAGACCATTACAAGGCAAAGTATTCGTACTTTCGCATTATTTTCAGATCAATACACGTTATTATTCCATATAAATTATTAGCTTTGAAATACTGTACTACCAAATAAGGTGCCCAAATAAATGTGGGCATCTCATAGTTTCTTAACCATTAATAGTAGGTACTGTCTATACATATACTGTATAGCATTGCCTTCATATGCCAGATACTGTATAGTCAAGAAATGTGCTCTCTTAGTACATACATCACCCCAAGATCTTCTTTGTTTTATAACATGTAGAATTCAGTGGAAAATAAATTCATTCAAAATATATTACACAAGAAATCTTTAGTTTGAATAAAAATCAGATATACACTGGTAAAAATGTTGTGGGCTTGATTTCACTAGCACTGTGGGGTCAGGTCCATTCTCACTAGCACTGTGGGGTCAGGTCCATTCTCACTAGCACTGTGGGGTCAGGTCCATTCTCACTAGCACTGTGGGGTCAGGTCCATTCTCACTAGCACTGTGGGGTCAGGTCCATTCTCACCACCACTCTGGGGTCAGGTCCATTCTCACTAGCACTGTGGGGTCAGGTCCATTCTCACTAGCACTGTGGGGTCAGGTCCATTCTCACCACCACTCTGGGGTCAGGTCCATTCTCACCACCACTGTGGGGTCAGGTCCATTCTCACTAGCACTGTGGGGTCAGGTCCATTCTCACTACCACTGTGGGGTCAGGTCCATTCTCACTAGCACTGTGGGGTCAGGTCCATTCTCACTAGCACTGTGGGGTCAGGTCCATTCTCACCACCACTGTGGGGTCAGGTCCATTCTCACTAGCACTGTGGGGTCAGGTCTATTCTCACCACCACTCTGGGGTCAGGTCCATTCTCACCACCACTGTGGGGTCAGGTCCATTCTCACTACCACTGTGGGGTCAGGTCCATTCTCACCACCACTGTGGGGTCAGGTCCATTCTCACTACCACTGTGGGGTCAGGTCCATTCTCACCACTACTGTGGGGTCAGGTCCACCTTCACCACCACTGTGGGGTCAGGTCCATTCTCACCACCACTGTGGGGTCAGGTCCACCTTCACCACCACTGTGGGGTCAGGTCCATTCTCACCACCACTGTGGGGTCAGGTCCACCTTCACCACCACTGTGGGGTCAGGTCCACCTTCACCACCACTGTGGGGTCAGGTCCATTCTCACCACCACTGTGGGGTCAGGTCCACCTTCACCACTGTGGGGTCAGGTCCATTCTCACCACCACTGTGGGGTCAGGTCCACCTTCACCACCACTGTGGGGTCAGGTCCATTCTCACCACCACTGTGGGGTCAGGTCCACCTTCACCACCACTGTGGGGTCAGGTCCACCTTCACCACCACTGTGGGGTCAGGTCCATTCTCACCACCACTGTGGGGTCAGGTCCACATTCACCACCACTGTGGGGTCAGGTCCATTCTCACCACCACTGTGGGGTCAGGTCCACCTTCACCACCACTGTGGGGTCAGGTCCATTCTCACCACCACTGTGGGGTCAGGTCCATTCTCACTAGCACTGTGGGGTCAGGTCCATTCTCACCACCACTGTGGGGTCAGGTCCATTCTCACCACCACTGTGGGGTCAGGTCCATTCTCACCACCACTGTGGGGTCAGGTCCATTCTCACTACCACTGTGGGGTCAGGTCCATTCTCACCACCACTGTGGCACCACCACCACACTGTGGCACCACCACCACACTGTGGCACCACCACACTGTGGCACCACCACCACACTGTGGCAGCACCACACTGTGGGTTCTCCCTAACTGATATTGATTACTCTTCAGAAGTACTGCAAATGTCTAAAGTATATAAGCAAGTCATTTTCAAAAGAAGCCATCATGCATGGAAGACCATTCAGAACCATCATGGTCACAAAACTGTCAAAAGGTCCTAAATACCATTAAAAGACAAGGGATGTCAAAGGTATTTGATTTACCGAGGATTTAATCGAGGGAAAGTGAAAACGGCACTATAAGCAGCAGTGTCTAAAAAGCTCACTAGAGGCTATTAATAACAATATGGCTTTGGGAGCCTGAAAAATTTCACTGTCTTATCTGTTAAAGTTTAGGAACAACCAGTGTTGTATTTTGATTAAATCTACAGAAAATTAACTAAGTTATCCATGTAATACTGTAACATAACTCTTCTTTAACAAAATGCAAATTAGGGAATTTCTGGCACAAGAACTAGCCTTCAAACTTGAATGCACACTGTAAAAATATATCATACTTTTGATACAGGACTCTACTACATTATAAATAGTCATACATTTTCCTCATTTTCTTCTCGTATAAGTTTTCCTTTTTATTTGTAGACAAATACCATAGGGCCTTTTTACACCAAAATTTAAATATCTATTAAGCAGAGGTTTCTTAGGAAGAGAAGCATCACATTTAACAAGTAACTGGGAGTCTTCATTGATTGAGAGAACGTGAACCTTCAAGACAACTTTATAAAACACAAAAATATACATTTTGAATACTTTACCTACCAAGTGGTGTGTATATTATCAACTGTGTATACTATTTGTGCATACTATTATCTGTATATAGTCTACTATGTATATAATCTGTGTATACTATTATCTCTATATAATCTACAGTGATAACAATCTACTGTATATAATTGACTGTGTATACTATTATCAGTATATAATCTACTATGTATACTATTATCTGTATGTATAATCTGCTGTGTATACTATAACCTAGACCTAGAGCATACCAAGAGAGGGTTTCATGAATTCTTCTACTCCCAAGCCCAGCCTGAGGCCAGGCTCGACTTGTGATAACTTGGCCCAGCAGGCTGTTGCTTGGAGCAGCCCGCAGGCCCACATATCCGCCACAGCATCGTTGGTCTGGCATTTCTTGCAAGAACTTGTCTAAGTGCCTCTTTAATTCATCCACCTTCGTTCCGGCCATATTTGTAATGCTTGCTGGGAGGGTGTTGAACAGCTGTGGACCCCTGATGTTAAGACAATGCTTTCTGAGTGTGCCTACAGCACCTCTACCCCTCAAATGGTTCTATTCTGCATTTCATTTTGTACCTTCACTCCAGTATGTTGTTATTCTAATGTACAAATTTTGGACCTGGTCTTATCTGTTTATATAATCTACTGTGTGTACTATTATCTGGATATATAATCTACTCTGTATACAGTACTATTATCTGTGTATATAATCTACTGTGTACACTATTATCTTTGTATATAACCTACTGTGTATACTAGTATCTGTTAGCATGACAAGACAATCACAAAACTGAAACAATATTGGATAATAATAAAAGCAAAAGTATTAACACTACCTTATAATCAAAATTTAGAGGAAAACATGTGCATTAGCTTGAAAATATGTAGAAGTCTTAAATATCTATATAAATTTACATATATGCCACAAAATATATAAGCTATCTAAATATATCCATATTTTATATGTGAGAGGCACTGATAGATCCTGTGGGTAGAGCAGAGGATACGTACCCAAGACTAGTTCATTGCTTCTTTTGACAACTTTAGACGTAAATGTTTTACTACATACGCCATAGTATCTAGTCACAATTTAGGCCATAGCAACCAGCTGCCACAGTATATCTGGGCCTGGGTATGATGCAGAGAAGAGAATATAACCGAGAAACAGACTTTTGTAGTGTCGATTATTTCCAGTAACAATTACTGAATGTGACCATTTTTGACCCAAATGCTATCTAAGGCCACTAGTTTACCTTAATATTAATATAATTCTAAGTATGACAAAGAATGATGTCCTTCAGCAAAGTATGATTGGTATAACAAACTGGGTTTCCATGACATCATGCCTCGAGTAGGCATTCCTCTCTCAGTGGTGGGATACAGTGAGAAAGGTAATACATTTACAACACTAAAATTTCACTACAAATAAAAATGAGCACCTTTTTCATGCATGCCATGTATCTTAAGGACTGTCAAGTTGCACTACACTACATACTGGTATACTCCAACTGTCAACAGGACTGTCAAGTTGCTCCACACTACATACTGGTATACTACAACTGTCAACAGGACTAAGACGTTGCTCCACACTGCGCATGACACTGTAAGCTAGTACAGTATCCTACAATTGTTAATTAAATGTTATTAATGATTATGATTGTATTTGATGTGGTGTGGATTAGGAAGGCACACACACTGCACATACAGGGATAGGTAGACGTAGCACCACCTCCCTGATTGGCCGTCATCACACGCCCGGTGGTGCTAGCCGGCACACAATCATCACTTCCTCGCGTCTCTCCCTCGCTCATAATCCATCTAAATGGAATCTATCTTAATAGAATATAAGAGCAAGAGCAAGTCTTTAAGCAGCACTTGATATCTCAATAGACATAAGAGGCCAAGTAAACAATCACTTGTGATCATAGAAAACAACGCTCTCTCTGGTACAATATACCAGTAATGCACTAATTCCTTTTACTTGTGTAACAGGAAGTGTGCTGTTAATTAACATATACAGTATCTACTGATGCCAATACTCTATCATGACTAAACAGTATTCTTCTGAGTTGAAAAGTATAACTTCCCATCACATCTAATATAGTTAAAACCCTAACTTTTATTTACATTAACAAAATATTGCTATAAGGTTACTTATGGTCATATGGAATTGGAGTAGAAGCAGCTGGCCACATTGGTGCGTGTGTGTGTGTGTAGCTTGTGCAGCTGGCTACTGGTGTGTGTGTGTGTGTGTGTAGCTTGTGCAGCTGGCTACTGTTGTGTGTGTGTGTAGCTTGTGCAGCTGGCTACTGTTGTGTGTGTGTGTAGCTTGTGCAGCTGGCCACACTGGTGTGTGTGTGTGTGTAGCTTGTGCAGCTGGCCACACTGGTGTGTGTGTGTGTGTGTAGCTTGTGCAGCTGGCTACTGTTGTGTGTGTGTGTAGCTTGTGCAGCTGGCTACTGTTGTGTGTGTGTGTAGCTTGTGCAGCTGGCCACACTGGTGTGTGTGTGTAGCTTGTACAGCTGGCCACACTGGTGTGTGTGTGTGTGTGTGTAGCTTGTGCAGCTGGCTACTGTTGTGTGTGTGTGTAGCTTGTGCAGCTGGCTACTGTTGTGTGTGTGTGTAGCTTGTGCAGCTGGCTACTGTTGTGTGTGTGTGTAGCTTGTGCAGCTGGCCACACTGGTGTGTGTGTGTGTGTAGCTTGTACAGCTGGCTACTGTTGTGTGTGTGTGTAGCTTGTGCAGCTGGCCACACTGGTGTGTGTGTGTGTGTAGCTTGTGCAGCTGGCTACTGTTGTGTGTGTGTGTAGCTTGTGCAGCTGGCCACACTGGTGTGTGTGTGTGTGTGTGTAGCTTGTGCAGCTGGCCTCACTGGTTATCTTGAGGTTATCTAGAGTTAATTTTGGGGTTAAGTGTCCCCGGGACCCGGTCCTCGACCAGGCCTCCACCCGCAGGAAGCAGCCTGTGACAGCTGACTAACACCCAGGTACCTATTTACTGCTAGGTAACAGAGGCATAGGGTGAGAGAAACTCTGCCCATCGTTTCTCACTGGCGCCCGGGATCAAACCCGGGACCACAGGATCATGCGTCCAGAGTGCTGTTCGCTCGGCCCCTCTGATACTGGTGTGTCAATGTTTAGCTTGTCACTATCACTATTAACAACAAACTAAATACTGTTCTCACTTATGAATACAATGTGATCATAGTTCATATGTGTAAACACAAAGGTTAATATTAGCAGTAACCTGCCAATATTACACACACTCGACATTCTTCCATTCAATAATACAAAAACCTTATCTTGCACATTTGGTCCACCAAGTAAATCTTTTACTTTACAAATTAATAAAGAATTTATTAATATATGGACTTAAATAATCAATTATTGAATGCTGTAATATAAATAAGTTAATATACTTATATTTTACATCACAAAATACTGTATTAACTACATATAGTTACTAATAGTTCTGGTGACTAAAATATAATGGCACTTTTCTGCATGTTGTGGCAACAAGGGTCATGTGGCACCAAGGGAACACTTTGGTGCCAAGTTATGGCAACAAGGGAACGCTCACCTGGCGTTCCGTGAACGCTCTGTCATGGGTTCATATCCTGGCCGGGGAGGATTTACTGGGTGCAAATCTTTAACTGTAGCCTCTGTTTAACTCAACAGTAAAATGGGTACTTGGTTGTAAAAACGAAAAGTGTAGCATAGGCCAATCGCACAATGTTCTTAATGTGATCCTCAGGTGATAGTTTTCTATCTAGAACTATCCCGAGATCTCTTTCTTTATCAGACTTCTTTAAATAATTTCTTACATAATTTATAGGTTGTGTGGGGTTTATGTTCTCCAATTCCACATTCCATAACATGGTATTTATTTACATTAAATTCCATTTGCCAAGTGGTACCCCCAAATACTTATTCTGTCCAGGTCTTTTTGAAGGCTGTGACAATCATCAAAGTTACTTATCTTCCCTATTAACTTAGCATCATCAGCAAACGTGTTCATATAATTCTGTATTCCATCTGGTAGATCGTTTATGTAGACAATGAACATCACCAGTGCAAGAACTGAACCCTGTGGTACTCCACTTGTGACATTTCTCCAGTCCGATACACTTCCTGCGTACATGTGCGTTTGTGGGGGGGGGGGGCCCTGGCTATGTTGCAGCAACAGTTCTACTGTTTATTATGATGTTGTAGCACTGTTGCTCTCATGTCTGTGGATATGTTGCGGCACTGTTGCTCTCATGTCTGTGGATATATTGCGGCACTGTTGCTCTCATGTCTGTGGATATGTTGCAGCACTGTTGCTCTCATGCCTGTGGATATGTTGCAGCACTGTTGCTCTCATGTCTGTGGATATGTTGCAGCACTGTTGCTCTCATGTCTGTGGATATGTTGCAACACTGTTGCTCTCATGTCTGTGGATATGTTGCAACACTGTTGCTCTCATGTCTGTGGATATGTTGCAACACTGTTGCTCTCATGTCTGTGGATATGTTGCAACACTGTTGCTCTCATGTCTGTGGATATGTTGTAGCACTGTTGCTCTCATGTCTGTGGATATGTTGCCACACTATGGCTCTATGGTTGTGGATGAGTTGCCACACCATGGCTCTATGGTTGTGGATGAGTTGCCACACCATGGCTCTATGGTTGTGGATGAGTTGCCACTGCAGTGTTCATTACAACCATCTGTCCAATTATGGAATCGTGGACCAATTAATGCAGCAGGTGATCAACAACATGCCAAGCTCTTATGGTGGTTATCTTGAGGTTATCTTGAGATGGTTTCGGGGCTTTTTAGTGTCCCCGCGGCCCGGTCCTCGACCAGGTCTCCACCCCCAGGAAGCAGCCCGTGACAGCTGACTAACACCCAGGTACCTATTTTACTGCTAGGTAACAGGGGCATAGGGTGAAAGAAACTCTGCCCATTGTTTCTCGCCGGCGCCCGGGATCGAACCCGGGACCACAGGATCACAAGTCCAGCGTGCTGTCCGCTCGGCCGACCGGCTCCCGTGATTAAGACCATGCTATGTCTTAATCAACCTATATTTCTACACATGCTGATACCAGCACTGATTACACACACACATTACAGTAGTATTATAATGTAACAGACATGACACCGAGGTCAAAACTGAGATTACTGCATGCTCAGATAACATTTGCTAAAAACGCTTTCAATAAGACTTCTATATTCTTTATTAAAACAAGAAAACTTTGGTCCTTCCAATCATAAAAAATATATATGCAAGGGTTGTGCTGAACTTGTTTTACTGATGCTAGAAGTAAGAGTTCATGACACGTAAATAGTGGATTCTTAATCAATTATACAAAACATTTATGGAGAAAAATATTGAAAACAACTAACACCACCATACTAATACCATACCACAATGGTTGTCAGTTGCCATGAACTAGGGGATAACATGGGCTCTGGTCCACCTTGTGAGTTACCATACACTAGGGAACAACTATGAGCTCTGGTCCACCTTGTGAGTTACCATACACTAGGGACAACTGTGAGCTCGGTCCAACTTGTGAGTTACCATACACTGGGAACTGTGAACTCTGGTCCACCTTGTGAGTTACCATACACTAGGGACAACTGTGAACTCGGTCCACCTTGTGAGTTACCATACACTAGGGACAACTATGAGCTCGGTCCACCAACTGGATTCAAGTATAAAAGCTTGTATCATAATTAACATTATTCATCCAAAGTAACATTTTATCTGCCATTTGCTGCTGCATCTTTGGCTGCTTGTCTTCGCTTTTGTACCTGTCGCTGGTGCTCTCGCTGAAGGTCGTCCTCAGTTAGGTCGAGTCGCTGCATCTGAAACAACACACTTTGTGACTCTTCACACCCAGCCAGATATAATTTGTGTCAGGAAGCACGGTGAAGTTTGTGATTGTGGCAGACATCATATTCATCTATCATGAGACTCACAAGAGTGACGGGGTAATGATGAACCACAAAGACTCAGGAAGCACGGTGAAGTTTGTGATTGTGGCAGACATCATATTCATCTATCATGAGACTCACAAGAGTGAGGGGGTAATGATGAACCACGAAGACCCATGCTGATATTCGCTCAGAATGAGTCACATATAAGGCAAAGCCCCTTATTTAAATCAGCAATTTCTCTATACTAAAATTTGATTTTAAATTGAAGCACCTTTTTTAAATGAGCAATTTCTGTGTACTTGTCGTAAATAGCAACACCATTTACTGTACTAACTTTCAATACAATATGCAGATAATATTGCCGCTCAATTTGTTCTAACAAATTAACACAAATGTATTATATTTACTCATGCAAAGAAAATTAGAATTGTGGAATTTTCCCCGAGAAAAACGGGATATTATTGCCCCGTCACCAGAATATACACCATTAAATACTAATCCATCATTTAAAACACCAGTCCAGGGATTAAAATTGCTAAAAAATTATTCTCTATGACTGGATCTAAAAAAAATCAACCATAAAACTATGGTCTTCCTCCAATTGTTACTAAAAGGCAGAAAATTTAACTAACTAGTGGCGTCACTTGATCAGGGAATATCTTGAGGTTACCTTGAGATGATTTCGGGGCTTTAGTGTCCCCGCGGCCCGGTCCTTGACCAGGCCTCCACCCCCAGGAAGCAGTCCGGGACAGCTGACTAGCACCCAGATAACTATTTACTGCTAGGTAACAGGGGCATAGGGTGAAAGAAACTCTGCCCATTGTTTCTCGCCGGCGCCCGGGATCGAACCCAGGACCACAGGATCACAAGTCCAGCGTGCTGTCCGCTCGGCCGACCGACTCCCTCGGGAAGGAGGGAGGAGGGGAGGAGGGAGGAGGGAAGGAGGGAGAGCACCACTGTGATACAGATAACTTTAACTTACACAACGGGCAGTGCTGTCAATACTTACAAACCCCCGAGTCATCCCGTAGTCAATCTGCTACAGTGACCTCACCAATTATGGGGAGCACCTTGTTTCCCGGTTTGAACTAATTTTCTCTATTAGAAAGCCTGATAACATTAGTTAATTTTAACCTGGTTATGAGGCGGAAGAACATCCAAAAAAGGTTAAACCTCTCAAAATAATTGAATAACAATCTCTGTCATTCATACCACATCTGTTATAAGGATGTTATTGCATTTGTTGCGGTGTATAATTCCTGTAGGTAACCTGTGACAACCTGAGGAAATTAGCAACGCTACCTGGTACAACAAGAGACACGTGGTGATGACGCTCTAGACTGACACGCGAGGAGAACCAGTTTGCTAGATCTTTCATGTCCGAGTCTGGTTGACCAGACTTCAACACGCTTCCGCTACACATAAGGGGCATAACTGGCAATCTGGTAGAAGGCTGGTATACCAATGGTCCAGAGGGTAGGAGGCTGGTATACCAATGGTCCAGAGGGTAGGAGGCTGGTATACCAATGGTCCAGAGGGTAGAAGGCTGGTATACCAATGGTCCAGAGGGTAGAAGGCTGGTATACCAATGGTCCAGAGGGTAGAAGGCTGGTATACCAATGGTCCAGAGGGTAGGAGGCTGGTATACCAATGGTCCAGAGGGTAGGAGGCTGGTATAACAATGGTCCAGAGGGTAGAAGGCTGGTATACCAATGGTCCAGAGGGTAGAAGGCTGGTATACCAATGGTCCAGAGGGTAGAAGGCTGGTATACCAATGGTCCAGAGGGTAGAAGGCTGGTATACCAATGGTCCAGAGGGTAGAAGGCTGGTATACCAATGGTCCAGAGGGTAGAAGGCTGGTATACCAATGGTCCAGAGGGTAGAAGGCTGGTATTCCAATGGTCCAGAGGGTAGAAGGCTGGTATACCAATGGTCCAGAGGGTAGAAGGGTGGTATACCAATGGTCCAGAGGGTAGAAGGCTGGTATACCAATGGTCCAGAGGGTAGAAGGCTGGTATACCAATGGTCCAGAGGGTAGAAGGCTGGTATACCAATGGTCCAGAGGGTAGAAGGCTGGTATAACAATGGTCCAGAGGGTAGAAGGCTGGTATAACAATGGTCCAGAGGGTAGAAGGCTGGTATACCAATGGTCCAGAGGGTAGAAGGCTGGTATACCAATGGTCCAGAGGGTAGAAGGCTGGTATACCAATGGTCCAGAGGGTAGAAGGCTGGTATACCAATGGTCCAGAGGGTAGAAGGCTGGTATACCAATGGTCCAGATGGTAGAAGGCTGGTATACCAATGGTCCAGAGGGTAGAAGGCTGGTATACCAATGGTCCAGAGGGTAGAAGGCTGGTATACCAATGGTCCAGAGGGTAGAAGGCTGGTATAACAATGGTCCAGAGGGTAGAAGGCTGGTATAACAATGGTCCAGAGGGTAGAAGGCTGGTATACCAATGGTCCAGAGGGTAGAAGGCTGGTATACCAATGGTCCAGAGGGTAGAAAGCTGGTATAACAATGGTCCAGAGGGTAGAAGGCTGGTATACCAATGGTCCAGAGGGTAGAAGGCTGGTATACCAATGGTCCAGAGGGTAGAAGGCTGGTATACCAATGGTCCAGAGGGTAGAAGGCTGGTATAACAATGGTCCAGAGGGTAGAAGGCTGGTATACCAATGGTCCAGAAGGTAGAAGGCTGGTATACCAATGGTCCAGAGGGTAGAAGGCTGGTATTCCAATGGTCCAGAGGGTAGAAGGCTGGTATAACAATGGTCCAAAGGGTAGAAGGCTGGTATACCAATGGTCCAGAGGGTAGAAGGCTGGTATACCAATGGTCCAGAGGGTAGAAGGCTGGTATAACAATGGTCCAGAGGGTAGAAGGCTGGTATACCAATGGTCCAGAGGGTAGAAGGCTGGTATACCAATGGTCCAGAGGGTAGAAGGCTGGTATACCAATGGTCCAGAGGGTAGAAGGCTGGTATACCAATGGTCCAGAGGGTAGAAGGCTGGTATACCAATGGTCCAGAGGGTAGAAGGCTGGTATACCAATGGTCCAGAGGGTAGAAGGCTGGTATACCAATGGTCCAGAGGGTAGAAGGCTGGTATACCAATGGTCCAGAGGGTAGAAGGCTGGTATAACAATGGTCCAGAGGGTAGAAGGCTGGTATACCAATGGTCCAGAGGGTAGAAGGCTGGTATACCAATGGTCCAGAGGGTAGAAGGCTGGTATACCAATGGTCCAGAGGGTAGAAGGCTGGTATACCAATGGTCCAGAGGGTAGAAGGCTGGTATACCAATGGTCCAGAGGGTAGAAGGCTGGTATACCAAAGGATCAAAGAGCAAACCACAAAGATTAAGGAGGTGCGCCTGCTGAAACTGGACATGACCAAGGCTATGGAACCAGGCACGACATCACTATGAATACTGACACACAGCCATATTTCCGTCTTCTAAAGAAATATGGTCACGTGTCCTCTGTGTAATGCTGCTATTCTTGGAACTGGAGTTGTTATTAATAGAGGTGTTCATCTGGATGCTGTCCTTCAAGAACAAGAGAAGTGAAACTTCAAGAACAAGAGAACACGGGTTCAAACTAAGGAAACAGAGCTACTGAAAAAACTCTTAGACAGTTCACTTTTACAGAGTGGTAGATGGTTGGAAGACGTCAAGTGAGAAGGTTGTGGAGGCCAAGACCGTTGGTAGTTTCAGAGCTTTATGGGAAGGCAAGACACCATGAGCATAGCTCTCCTGTAAATACACTTATCTTGAGATGATTTTGGGACTTAGCGTCCCCGCGGCTCGGTCCTCGACAAGGAGTATTTTTTATTACACATCCCCAGGAAGCAGTTTGTAGTAGCTATTTAACTCCCAGATAACTATTTACTGCTAGGTAAACAGGGGCATCAGGGTGAAAAAACTCTGCCCATTTGTTTCCGCCTCCACCGGGGATCAAACCCAGAACCTTAGGACTATGAATCCTGAGCGCTGTCCACTCAGCCATCAGGGCCCCCTTATGTACAGTAATTACATAAAACAATGTAACACCTTTCCTACCACAGCACAACATACAATAAATACCTTTCCTACCCATAGCACACCATACAATGCCATTCCAACCCATAGCACAACATAAAACATAACTTTCTTATCCATAGCACAACATACAAGACCTTTCCTACCCATACCACAACAAACATGACCTTTTCTACACAACACCACATACAACTCTTTCTACACATAGCACCACATATAACACAACAAGTAATACCACAAAAGAAAAATAAGCTCACCTGAA